TTATTGTTCTATTTTATTTCTCACTTATTTTGAATAAAACTCAATACAGTACGTGCACCGAAAATGAACAATAAATAATGTAGCAACCCTATGAAGAAAAAAAGATTTACATGATGAGGGGGTTAGTCCAATGAGATAAGTTCAAAAGCTTTCATCATGCGTGTACATTTTTTTAAAAACACAGAGTGCAGTCTTGCAACATATCCAAAGTATCATTAAGTCATAGATTAGGAGAACCTCCTAAGCTTCATTCAAAGCCATTTTGCACTGATAGATTACTAACCCTAACTTGATACACTTCGTCACCTGTACACTTTCAACCAGTCCCAGGGTAAAGTAATAGTGAACCGTAAAGGAGTCTATGAGACAGCATTGGTACCATGAGAATAAACTATCTAGTTTACGGTTTTAAGACTTCGCCGTTTGAATGACGACCTGGGTGGTGCGCAAAAACGTGCAGTCGCACCTCAGAATTACTTGTATTGTTGCCAATGGAAGCTAGTTTTTCCACAAAGACCATGATGGATGAATCTACCCAGCCTGAATAGAGCATGCTCCATAGATCAAAATCAGAACTAACAACAGCACAGCATTTTACACTGCTTCAACGGTGCCATTGGTAACTCAGACTGATATTTGCCACCATGACTTTCTATGTAAGTTTGGGAACTATGTTGATCGTGCTTTTATCAGTACTAGTGCAACTGACCAGATGTCAATTTTTTGACCACCTACAACGGTTCACAAGCAAGAGTAAGCGCAGGTAGATTCCTGTTACCCTTACAAAAATTGCTTGTACTCTGGTGGTGCGAAACACTTGTAATAGTTGAGAGAACAAATCACGTTTTTACTGAGGGTGATGCAATCCTGTGTGCTTCCATGAAGTAAGACGACACAACCTACATACTCATTATTATTACTATTATTACCATTATCCCTGTTATTATTATTATTATTATTGTTATTATTATTATTATTATTATTATTATTATTATTATTATATCATTAAAACACAAGCGTGGTACAGTAAGGGCACCAAGGAATGCACGATATAAAATAGTAGAACAACATTTTGAAGACATAAGGCGAAAAGAAGTTGATAACAAAAAAGAAAAATAATAGGAACAGAATGATTAGAAAGGTAATCCAATAGGATACATTCCAAACGAAACGTTCATTACTTTCCAGTAGCAGATGATAGAAGGAAGCTGTAACATAACCGCCTTGAGTTTCCATTCTGAGCCATGTCTGAGTAACAAGACGATATCTTCCGCATATTTACCGTCGAATGGCCATCCTCCGGTGGTGGGTCTACACCACCATCACTCACCTCCTTCAGAGTTGTCTCAAGAGTGTCGTCGATGGCAAAGTTAGAGAAGAATGGAGAAATTGGGCCACCCTACCTAACCCCACTGCTGGTTTAGAACAATGCGGACGGGTGGTCACATGCCCTCACTCTAGCTGGGGTGTAATTACACAATAAATTTCTCAGACACGCCCCTCTCAAGCAGATAATTCCCGAGTATAGCTCTGCCCAACGAACAGAAGGCAGCCCTAATTTCAAGGAACACAACTGTTGGCCTACAATACCCGTAGAGATGTTCAAGCATCTGGCGGATGGTAAACACATGATCGATGCATCCACAACCTGAACGAAACTCGGCCTGCTCCTTGTGAATCACTTTCCTCATATGTTTCGCAAAGTCTGAGAAGTATGATAGTAGTCAATATTTTCGACGCGACTGGTAACAGACTAATACCCCGATAATTGTCATATACATTCCGTAGACCCTTTTCAAAGATGGGCACAACAATGACTTCATTCCAGAGTGATGGAACACTCTCAGTATGCCAAACAACTTAGTTCCCTAACTAGAGTCGTTCCTACATCCTTAAAAAGAAAAAGAGGTGAGTTGTCTGGGCTGGGTGCCTTGTAGTGTTTCAGAACTTTAAGTTCATTATAGACCTCAGCTTTGTTAGGTGCGTCAGTGTTAACTGACCATGGAGAATGATACACTGAAACTGAAGATGCTGGAGCAGTGGGTCAGCCAAACTGCTTTTTGAAGTGCTCCGACCAGCGCTCCAGGCGCCTTTGAAGATTGTTTGTACCACCTACCTCATAAACTGTTTCATTGACACTAGGCTTCTTGCAACCAGTGGCTTGATTGAGCTGGAACAGCTTACGACTATTGCTCAATGGAGCTGTTTCTTCCATCTCATCCGCTCGTTTTGACCTCCATGTCTCACAGTCCTCGTGTAAGCGTTGTGTAATCTGTCTACGGTATCTGTCGAGAGCACTAGGTTAGAATGTTACTCAGTTGATAACAGAATTCATCCTTGGTTTCAACCGGGCCCTAGTCCGTCGGAGTATAGGCAGAGGTGACAAAGAGACATTGTTTCTCTAGCCGGTTAATTCTTATTCGAGAAGAACCTTCTAGCCTAACAGCACAGCCGATTGTTGATCCATTTGAGTAGTGCAGTTTCAGGTCGAACGCTTAGTGCGATACCGACACCAGAGGGGCCGGTTGTCGATGCCACAATGACCCCGGATACGCGCATATGAAACACAGCTTTTAAGTTGACAGATGGGGAACTTCTTCGAAGCACTTCACCAGGAACTTGTATAAAGATCTCTGAGATGCAACATACATCAATAGAGAGGTTTTCCAGAACCCTAACCTGTTGTTCCGGTTTGCATCAGGGTATGTTGAAGTTGGCGAGCTTAAACGGTACGCGTGAGTCTAAGATAGATGTGTCAAATATCGCACTGAAAGACAGTTTTGTAACTGTTTAGAGACTCAAAACGGTACAGAAAAACAAGAAATCTGAGCACTGGAGAGCAGCTGAGTGAAGTGAAGACAAAGCGAAAATGATAATTAAAAAGATACGGTTCATATGTAAAAAAAATAATACAAAAGCAAGAAATTGAACGATTAGTTATGGTGTTTGTGGAGCAGAAAAGTTAAATATTCACAGAAAAGTTGGATGAGCGCTCGGAACTCTTCATTGTATGTGTAATTCCATATTCTTGGGTGCCCTAACCGAAGTAAGTGGTTGTCTTAGGGGACAACTTCCCGAGCCTTTGACTTAAAGTCTAATCCACAAGGCAGTGAAGCAACACTAGAAGTTGCATTCCCAAGGTTTTGTAGTGAACACAATAAGTTTATAAGGCACTAGTTGGGAGTAACGGTTTTCCAGCTCCCCTAGATGGATCCTCAGTATCTAATGGAGAATATTTGTAGCTCAGGTGGATGGTCTTGGTTGTATTATGTTCTCTGAGCTCAGAGAACACAATACAACCAAGATCCTCAGTATCTACTGATAAGCGCCGGACATACTCATTAGGAGAGGTAGGATATCTGTACGACCACACGCCTTATCCCGAGAAGTTGAAGAATAATGGTGAAATCAGGTGAACCTGCCAAAATCCTTTTCTGGCTAGATGTAGGGAAGAAAGGTGGTCGTAGACCTTTACTAGGCTGTAGTCGGCCAACAAACTAGATAGCTTCACAAATTATGGCAGACTAAGTGTCCCCTCACTCTACAATGAGGTTATTTTCGTCATCGTAAAAGGGGTTTATGTTATTTGCGGGGTTATATGTGCGTATCCGTTTTCTACCAGTTACATCGAAAGTACTGGTTGGTTATACCTCTTAGGCTCTTCAAAATGTATTGAAACCTGATTCACATGGAGCAGACCAAGTTTCTTTCGTGTTACCAAATGCCCGAACACTGTCACACCCAGAGCAGGCCAATATTTGTGGTGCTTCTTCACATTAGAGTTGCCTTCATTTCGTTGGAAAGGACCGTACTTTGAAATATTCTGCTAGAAGGCTGTGTCCATGAGAAGTCTGTTAACTTCTTGAAACACTATCCAAAAATCTTGCGGTAGAACATCATACAACACATCTCCAGTTTTCCAAGCCAACAGTGAAATTGCCTGATTTGACTTCTCTTTAATCTTCACACCGATGACATTCTCAAACAAACTCTGAAGCAAATGCACTGTAGTGGTGGGGACCTGCTACTAGGTGAAAGACTCTTCAACCTCGAGTATGTGCATGTTATCATTTTACTGCTCGACAACATACAGGCTACACAAGTCAAACTCAATATAGTTGGTGGACAGCGTCCATAAAGTTTGGTTTATGCTCTGCTGTACTGTTTGAGTTTGAAGTATGTAATATTTACCTGGTGAGATAGACAGCTGATAAAAACTTCAATGACAATCCTTGAAAAGTGATTCTGGAATCTGATCTCATTGACCCACTCAAAGGAAGGCTCAATATAAATGAATGATGACTAGTAATAAGAGAGTTGTTAAGCATCTGTTGAAGGACAAGCATATCACTAATTTATCCACGACATGGATGAAATATGAACAGCTTTCAATCGGTCAACCGATACATTTTGGTAAGTTTTAAAGTATGATGATATCCAACATTTTCAACGCCAACTATACCAAGCGACTACACTGATGACTGTTACGCACAGAGAAGACTGATCTTAAATCGAAAGCTGCCGATGCACAACAAAGAGACGTTAGATGAGGAATTTTCATGTAATTAGTGCAGTAGATTCACACCGAACTACGGTTTTCTGCAACACAGTGCTAGATAAGGTAAAGTTATGTCAGGATTTAAACTTAGCAAAATTACATCATGACCCAAATCCACTAGATTACTGTAAAGAAGGAGAAAGTGCTCGTTATTAACTCACTTAACAACGTACGGAACAAAACAGAACAATGCAACTTTCTCCACAGCTAAACTTAGTTATTAAAATATGCAAGTGAAAAAACTAAAAAGGTCTATTTGTATACACTCAACGGACAGTGAAAAGGGAAATATACATCATTCGAACACCCCATGCAGACAGACAAAAAAGTACCACTTATAATATGCCTCAAACAAGCCACAAAAAGCACTTGGCTGGTAAGCTAAGTTAACTGGGGGAAAGATTGACGTACTTATAGCAAAAAAAACTCGCAAAAAAAATACCTGGAAGTATTTTCCACAGATGAGACATGCATAGACGTTGAGATGGGACAAAGAGACGGAACAGAGCTTTTCAAAGTCAAAATCCAACATGTTTCTTCGAATAGTATCTAAGTATGGGCACGAACGACTTCTAGTGTCTTCATTCTGTTCATTGAGAACAGCTTCATTTCCAGTAGGTACTCGTTCATTTAACTTCAAGAAAAAATTGAGAACATTAAGAAATACCTCCTCATCTTGTTTTGCTCGTTTTGAAGCTTTTCTACGAGTCTTTTCATGTCTTCTTTTATGACCAGACAGGGGAGAAAGTGTGTGAGGTACAAAAGATAGATACGACATCACTGTAACGCAACCTTCGAAAACGCCACCTTCAGCGATAAATCTCAATTTAAAGAAAAAGAGAAAAAAGTGTCAGGTGATTGTCAGCTCCAAAATATGCAGGATTAGAAGTGGATTTAAGACAGTACTGTTTTTTTCAGGGCAACAACATACTCTAGAGGAGGGAACCAATGGATATTCATAAATAGAACTTCGTGCGTTAGAAGTAGAGGATGATAGTCCTTTGGATTCTACGTCTGTCTTAATGGTATATGTCTTTTACTTGAAACGGTTAGTTGATTCCATGGCTTTGGAAACCCTTCAAGCGACACTTTTTGAAACACCACGTGCTCAAACTTTGAAAGGCACATGGGGGTTACCCTCAATGAAAAACTTCGATCTTTTGGAAGCTGCTGCATTTCAATCAACAAAGCCCATGTCATCGTGTGGAGCAAGACACGGAACTTGAAGGAACAAACTGTGAGCTCATTCATGACCATAGTTGGATTCTATATTCATATTGCTTCCTACGTCAATTTACCTTTGAAAATACACCGGGATTCGGACATGGCGTCACGCACATCCAAAAAATCTATAGTCTAGGGTTTGACGAGGTTCAACATTGATGCTGAACTTGATAGTGTAACTGGACTCGCTAAGCTAAAGGCACCCAGGCAAACATCCGCGCCATTTAGCGCACCATTGTGTCACGTTGCACTGCTCGCAATCAACTCTCTAGCCAGTTAGTCGGAACGCGTCGGTATCTTGGCACAACCACCCAAGTATACTGTCCCATCCAACTACGCTATTGTGTTCTTCCTTGATCTCATATTCGTGGGTATGTAACAAGTCCGAATAATTAGTGATTGGTCTTTGCGTCTGTCGAGTTCGCATCAGGACAATTCCTAAATTGGTGAGCCCGACGTGATAACATATCCCGACCATAACAAATATTGAATTGATGAGCCTGTTCCATTTTATACTTGTAAATCGTTTTCATTTTGATAACCTTTATGTATCTGTATACAACTTTTTCCCATATCCAACCATACTCCCAAGCGTATCCTTATTAAGCAGACTACCAAAACTATCCAACTCGTACCATATTGACCAGACAATGCAGAAACATGGTTTCTGTATGCCGAGGCAGATTTTCGAGGACGGAGTCGCAGATCCTCATTTTCGATTTCTTGATATCATACTTTCACCACCGCGAGAATTAAACAGGCATGTCACAACACATATGTTTACTCGTGAAGTAAGTGGTCCTTATGCACTTCTCAAAGCTGCACTCCTGAGGAACGGTGACCTCACAGATCGCCAGCGCCTAGACAAGTTGCTTCGTAACATCGAGCTAGGCAGCAACTCAGCCACTGAAGTCCTAGCACGCATCCGAGAAGTTATCGGCGCACGGACATTCGACAATGGCCTTTTCCGAGAACTATTTCTCTCGAAACTACCACGACTGGTGCAAACCGTGTGGTGACACTTCAGTTAGTCCCACTCGATGACCTGGCAGACTCGGCAGATAAAACACTGGAGATTTCTGGCAGACCTGTCTCGAACGTATATTCTGTCTCGACAAACCAGATTGCCAGGATTCAGAGGTGAAAAAGCTGTGCAACTCTGTGAAACAGTTGCTACGTTTTCGAAGTTCTAGCTCACGTAGCACTTCACAGAAGCGCACCTTGGCGCATCGCAGCAACTCTCGTGGTAGCCCCAAAACTAAACCTAACAGGGTGGAAAACCCGAAATGGTTCTGGTTTCATAATACTTACGGAGAGGCTAGAAAATGCAGAAGCTATGCAGTTTCAACACCGACACAAACTTGGGAAACGGCAAGCCGGCACGTGTTCACTGCAACCTTAGCCGGCGGAAACAGCCGTTTGCTCTACGTCACGAGTATGAAAGCTAAAGTTCTCCACCACGTCGATACCGGCGCAGAAGTAAGCGTTCTTCTCGCAATGACAAGTTGGCGTCATCATGACCCATCCTTCGATCTTCGAGCAGCTAACGGCAAGGCAACAGCAACATTTGGGGGACGGTATGCCTACCTCAACTTAGGTTTACGTAAACCTATCCACTGGATTTTCCTTCTGGCTGACGTTCCTATGCCCATCATTGGCATAGATTTGCTGGACCATTACGATCTACTCGTAGGTACTCGTCGTCGACGACTGATAGATAACAACACAAAGTTATCTATTGGCCGCACCACCTATGTAGGTCCGAATTCGGCCACCGAACAATCAGGCGACGCGTCATTCAGCTAGTGTTTGAGAAAATCCACAGTTACAACAACCGAAGCATACTCTTCCGCTCATGACCAGCCAAGTTATGCACCGTATGACAACCACAGGTCCATCTGTGGTACCCTGAACACGCCATCTGGCCCCTGATAAGCTCAAAACAGAGGAGTGTGAATTCAACCACACGCTCGAACTGGGCATTATCAAACCTTCAAGTAGTCCCTGGGCGTCACCATCGCATACAGTTCCCAAAAAGGAAAGTGACGGCTGGCGTCCAACCGGTGATTACCGAAGGCTTAGCTCCCAGACAACACCGAACTGCTACCTGATACCTCACGTTACGACTTGACTGCGACGTTATGCGGAGCGAACATATTTTCCGAAATCGACCTGGTCAAAGCGTATAATGAGATATCTCGAAAACAGCCGTTACTACTTCTTCCGGTTTGTGTGAATTCCTGCGCATGCCAATTGGTCTTCGGAATGCAGCACAAACATTCCAACGCTTTATGGATGATGTCTTCCGTGGTTTGGATTTTGTTCATGTCTACATCGATGACTGTCTAATTGCGAGTCCAGATAAGGAAACTCACCTTAAACATTGGGACCTCGCATTCGAAAGACTTAAAAACATGGCATCACAGTCAACTTACGGAAGTGTGAAATAGGAGTTGAATCACTCAGCTTCCTTGGGCATACCACTGACGACAAAGGTATACGCCCATTGAGAGATAAAGTGGCGGCTATCACAAACTATCCAGAGCCGACCACTGTGAAACATCTCCGCACTTTCAATGGCCCGGTAAGTTATTACCGAAGGTTTATCCCCAACTGTGCCTCTGTCATGAGACCGCTAACAGGTCTACTCAGAGGAACTACGAAGTTCGTGGCTCTGGACAGCGTAACTAGACTTGCTTTCTCTAAAGTTGAGGAGGCCATTTCAATCGCAGCCATGCTTGTGCATCACGACCCCAATCCTCCTTTGAGTATTGCTGTTGATGCATCTGTCTCGGCAACTGGAGCAGTTTTGCAACGGTTGACTGACAACCAGTGGCAACCGTTAGTCCTTTTCTCGAGGCGGCTGCAAGATGTGGAAGTAAGATACAGTACATTTGGTAGGGAACTCCTAGCTATGTACTGTTCTGTACGCCACTTTCGACACTTGGTGGAAGGTCGTTATTTCATTATTTTCACAGACCACAAACCGTTAACCTTTTCTCTCAGCTTGGTGTCTGACATACTCTCCTCGTGAGTCACGACAACTGGACTACATTTCCCAGTTCATTTCAGATATCCGCCACACTTCTGGATCACAAAACTCCGTAGCCGATTTGCTACCTCGAACAGGGCTTCCATAAACCGCATCGAGAGCGCTGATCTCGTCGAACAAGCCTGGTGTCAAAAGGAAGACTTTGAGCTGCATCACGAGTTGTCGTCCACAACGCCCTGGCTACAACTGTGTCCAGTAGGATCAGGAGAGAATGCGATTTTGCGCCACGTCTCTTCCGGTCAGCCAGGCCCAATAGTTCAGAAGAGATATCGACGCAACGTCTTCAATATGTCGCACAAACTCTCTCATCCGGCTGTACCAGCCACCGTCAGGCTTACTGCGCCAGGTTTCTGCTGGCCGGTGGGCTCAGTCGTGCTTAGCTTACCAGAAGTGCAAGGTCACGCGACACACCAAAGGCCCTTTAGGTTCTTTCCTAGCCCCAGGCATGCGCTTCGACCAAGTCCATATAGACATTTTAGGACCACCACAAGAATCTAATGGATATGCTTACCTTTTCACCTGCACGGATCATTTCACGAGATGGCAGGAAGCAGTACCTATTAAAGATACTACCGCTGAAACTGTGGCTCACGTTTTCGCAGAAAAACGGATCGCTAACTTTGGATGTCCATCTTAAGCAACAACTGACCGTTGGTGCCAATTAGAGTGTGGATTATTTCACGTTCAGCTGCACTTTTAGTTTGCACTTGGTTCCGAACGACAGCCTACCATCCACAAGCAAACGGCATAGTAGAGAGTTTCCATTGACGGCTGAAAGCTTCCCTTTCGTGGCTTACAACGCAATGAGTTCAGTTAGGCCTTCTCCGGTTAGACCTCCAACGACTGATGTCTTCGTTCACCCCATTTTACAAAAGACATCACATGCCTTCATTCGCCACGACATCGTTCGTCGACCACTTGAACCACCTTGCGATGGGACATTCAAAATGGTCAAGCGACACGAGAGATCCTATATAGTTGAGCGAAACGAGTGTGAAGATTCTGTTAGTATCGACTGTTTGAAACCAGCTTACTTCGAAGGCAACCCATTATAAGTGACGTTCCAGGCTGCCATAGCTCAATTATCGAAATTCTCGACGATGTGTCTCATAATGCAAAGATATAACAACCACCGGCGCGACAAAAACACGATCAGGTCAAACCTTCAGGTTCCCGGAGTATTTGAAGTCACATTCAACTAAGCAGTGTGAAATAAAATATGCCAACCATATTTTTGATTCAAATTTTTCGGGGCACCATTTTTTATTTACCCGCAAAGCGAAAATCCTCCTACGTTTTACCCTTATTACATCAATTTTTTACCACTACGTAATGAGACTTTTTCCAAAATGTGGAAATAAGCGTAAACTTTATTTCGATATATTTATGTATAAAGGATTCCCATTTTTACGAAACGTTAACGTGGTATTAAAGACTCTTATTTATATTCCAGGTGCAACTAGCACTGAACGGAACGTCAAGGGAAACTGAGGACCGCAATCAGCGTACAATTCGATGTATTGTATTTTATTTTTAACTTGCCCCGACACCGTAGAGTAAGTTCAGACAACCAGGGGCCACTTCACGCAGTGAGCCCATCAGAAGAGTTTTACCAGTGGATAAACCACTGGGTCTTTACTTCCGGATGGTATCGTCTTAGGGTCCTCACAAGCCCACTAGGGGGGGAGTGATCAGTAGCGTCACACGCTTCCCCAAAATCCATAGTCTAGAGTTTGACGAGGTTCAACATTGATGCTGAACTTGATAGTGTAACTGGACTCGCTAAGCTAAAGGCACCCAGGCAAACATCCGCGCCATTTAGCGCACCATTGTGTCACGTTGCACTGCTCGCAATCAACTCTCTAGCCAGTTAGTCGGAACGCGTCGGTATCTTGGCACAACCACCCAAGTATACTGTCCCATCCAACTACGCTATTGTGTTCTTCCTTGATCTCATATTCGTGGGTATGTAACAAGTCCGAATAATTAGTGATTGGTCTTTGCGTCTGTCGAGTTCGCACCAGGACATTTCCTGAAGCGGCGATTTCTGGGAGGAGCTATGAAAATTGAGATTTAAATATGGCAACGGCTTCACTTAGGTGGTTCGGTCGACGGTAAGCCACAACACATCCGATAATAGAGGATTAGAGGATAGCTGATCATCTTTTATCACATCTTACGTAAATCCATTCAGATTTGAATGTCCTTTCATAGATGAAATAAGAAACTACATATTGCAGGCCATTCTTCAAGTGTGAAGCATGAGTGAGCGAGAACGGAGATACGTACTGCCTAGTTTCCAACTTGCGTAATTGCAACGAGAACCCTGCTGTCCAAAAACACGAGGACTTTCGGACAGATTCTTAAATTTGCATTCCCTCTGTGATTCGGCGAAAACATCATTGCCTTCTTCTAAACCACTGAATGGACAATGGGACCTAAATGAGGGAAACAAATCCGTCTGAACTGTTCATTTTGTTCTCCGACATCCAGTAATGTAACGGAAGTTTAGGCTGTTGGTAAACAATTTCGCATCCCTTCTGCTTCCATGAGTATCTTAAAGCATGCTGCATATTTCCCCCGAAAGAACATCTTGGAAGAAGAATTTTGCAAAATCTTTCAGGTCTTTTAGAGATACTGATTGACTTCGTGTTGCACACGGTCGGATTATTGGAAGGCTTTTGCTCCTCATTCTCAGATTAAATGGTCTCTCCCCCTTCCACGAGAATAGTTTTTTAGTTTTCCCCGCAAGTTCACCCTGAGAAGTATCAAGAGACCGTACTGGACCTTTTCCCCAGTGGAAACAGTCATAAAAGGTTTTGCGGCAGCATATTTTGCAGCGTGAGCTACCCTTCCTCTGTGATTGAGACGCTGAATGTCACCAGCGTCCATTGCGAGTAACTAGAAACATGCCTACCAGTTGGCTTGTTGGGGTGTTTCCACGGGATTGAACGCGTCCGAAACACACATATGGGTTCCGAAAACAGGATACTGAGAAGAAATTCCGATCATCACCAACAACAAAGTGACTGCTCAATTACAACTTATGCTTATTCGGAGAGAAAATAGCTTCTGCTGTATTCCAGTAATTTGCACGTTTATAGAGGGGCGAAACAATAAGAACTTACACACAAACTTAACCCGAACTTAGAGTGCATAGTAGAATACCAACTCTGACTTAGAAAAGATGAATATGAATTCGGAATCGAATGGATAAAATGGGACACTTGAATTCAGTTTTTAGGCTAATGAGAATGTATTGACTGATTTCGGGTTGATATTCATCATGGACCGAAATCTGTGAATAGTCAAGCGGAGAAACTCATCCAGTACGTGCAGGGGATCAAAAAGTTGCTTTCATTCCCCGTTTCAAAAAGTTTCTAGAGTACTTTTCAGCCTACTGAATCCAGATTTCAGCAAAAATACAGGGCGTTACCGATCAGGCAGTTGCTAAAAGGAACCCAGCAAAAATAGACATTACTTACTTCAGGTGTGCTGTTTGATGACTCGCGAATCTCATGCCTTGCCAGGGACTCTATCAATACAGTTTGGAGATAAGCGTAGCCGTTAAAGTGCATACCGAGTGATCTGAAGTTATTAGTGTGGCCCAGACCAAAACCTGACTCATAACAGAAGTTTCGAACTCGTTTATCTGTTCCGGAAACGTCAGTGATCGGTCACAGATTTTTAAAATAATGTGGTTCAACGCTTACATTCTGTAAGTGATATTTCCCAATCGAATTATCGAGTAGCAGGATTTGTGAAGAGTTGAAATAGCTTGAGTGAAGGCGGAAGGAAGAGATTCTAAGGGCAATATCACCTACAACTTTCCAGGAGCTTACCATGGCAAACAAGGGCCAATCAAAATGGAAATCGTCGACGAAATTCATGCTTGGTTTGGGGATAGTAAGTGCCTTCATTTCAGCGCTATTTACGTTCGGTTCGGAAAACAACCGGCGACAATACTAGGCACGAATTTCTTCGTTGGTGATAGGATTATTATAATAGCCCACCGAGGTAAAAAAAAATCCCCTAAAAAGCAGCAGTATTTGAATGAAGAATGGAATCAGTACTTTGTGAGTCAAAAATAGGCACAAAAATCTGGAGGGGATGTACAAATCAAATATAGTTTAGATTTCACGATGGCCGGAAATAGGCACCCCTGCGGCTGGTTCGTAGATCAGCTACCAGACAGAAAACAGTCATAGAAAGCTGTCCCACGACGTCAAGCAGGAAAAGAACATTGGAGACCGTCCCTAGTCTCACTATATTAACGCCAAGCTGACTACTGAAGAAAATTCACTTGAAATCGAAATTGTACCCACGCACGTCTTCACATCTTGGAAGCAGAGCATTGTGGAGCTCATTAGTGCCGTACAGATCTTATAAAGGACCCCGAGACCTCTAAAATCACGTGCAACTAATCGTTGTATATTGTTTGTTTACGAAAACTTAAGTAATCGTATTTGGGGATCGCTGGGCTGGCTTAGGCGATTCATTCGCAGGAAATACTTCCCGCGAAAGCCACCGAAGACCGTTTTTGGTTAGCCATCATTTTTCGTAGAAACCAGTAACCCTAATGGATGAAATGCAAACCGTTGTCCGGAAATCCGCACCTGCACAAAATGTCGCCCACATCAGCAGCCAAAATAGACCAACTTTCTCATGTAGGGCTTCGTTATTAGTAGTATTGTTGCTGTAGCCTAAAGAGTCTTCTCTTTTTCGTCGATAATTTGAGGTGACTTCCAACAGGATGATAGGAAATAATCAGAAAAATTGTTCAAACTGTTCATTCTTTATTACATGTAGTATTTGTTGGCGGAGTTTTTGATAGGGGGGATTTGACTTCCTTTGATTGACTGGATAAGGTTGGTTTAGAGCGCCCACGACGCTTAGCTAATGTTGATGATTCAACTGGTTCAAGGACTGGTATTTTAGTTGTACTGTTCAGTGCTCTAAATGTTGCTTCAACTGAATTCTGTAAAAGGTACGTATCAAACAGAATGATATAAATAAAGGAGATTATCAATATTAAATGATAAAGGATTACTTAAAATTATACCTTCAATGATTGATATGTATAGTTAATCATCAGAATGGAATCACATAGCACTAGTTTATAGACATTGATTTAGACACAAACTTCATCCAAACGGTTTACATGAAGAAAATAAAGATTAAGTGAACTAAGGAGATATGAATAGACGAACTTTCTAAAGATATACATTTACACAGTAGTATGAAAGAACTCATTTTCAAAGTAATATGTGCAGAAACGTTTTCAAAGGATATCACACTGAGTCATCTTAAGTGGAGTTAAAATGAATATTCAGTTTTTTATTACAGTACTTTACAGTTGTGTCAAGGTTCTTGTTTATATATTTATAATCCGATCCTAAAGAGAACCAGCTATGAAGTTAAATGATCAACTACAATGCATCCGGCCATAATAGTGAGAAAGCCGAATGAAAATCTCATAGAAGGACAAGTCCACTCATGGTTTCAAGTAATCCGTTCTGAATAAGTTTGGAAGCTGAGTTAACAAGTGCTTTTGATCAGCTAACTAGAAATAAGGAGAATAATGGTTGTATGCTGAAACGTCATATTCAAACATCTGTGGATTATATAAGCACAAGTTTCAACGAATTTTATATCATATATGAGAGAAAAATATTTGCTTCCTTCTGCTTAATAACATGCAATTCAGTATTTTAATGTACCATTATGATTTGCGTCTAAAACAGAGGATAAAGTGAGTTATCTTAAAACTGATTGCTTCTTTTAGAAACTGGTTTAAATGGTTTGTACGATTTACACAGTAAACATGAATTGTTTGTCTAGTACGACTTATCAAATCTTTCGAATGTTCATACACATACGTAGTTTAACAGTCAGATAGTGTTAATCACCATAAATTATTACTTCACTGTTATCATCAGTTTTGCTATAATTCTCCATTTTTCACATGTACATTATAAATATTACAGTGCATAATGTTTACTTGCTTTTAATGTTTGAAAAGATTGAAGAATTTTTCGAATATTAACATAACATGAAATAATGTTGTTGCTATTAAGACTCGATGGTCTAGTAGACAACGCTATGGAGTTTGAGGTGATTGGCCCGGAGTTGGAGTCCTGGTGGGAACAACACCGCCCACTGGGAGACAGGTACATCTGGCTGACAAGTCCCAAATAAGATGGAACGCTCATCCTGTATTCCACTGCTAGCCAATATCCATCGTTAATATATAATTAAAACACAGGTTATGCCGAGGCATCTGCATGGGAGCCCATATGCCAATAAAGAGCGGTCAAGTCGTTTCAATTAATGACAGGATACAAGCAACAACATAAAAACAGTCTATTGTTCCCTAGTCTTTTCGTTACTAACATACTACTGATGTCTGTCTATCGCTACAGTTCTGGACGTAAAACTTATTCAATCCTTGCTAAACCGAGTTAGTATTCGAGATGAAATAGAAATAATGTCACATTTTTGAAGTAATTTGTCAGTAATTTTAATGAAGTTTTAATTTATCTTGACAACATTAATGCATATCTTCAAGGAAGTGACAAGTTAGTGTAAGGCAGTTTTAATGACAGTCTATTAATCAGTGTAATATTACATAAAGTGGTATGATAGCGCTTGAGGATCTACACCGATTAGCAATTTATCTACTTTCAGTTACAAGTAGTTACAACCAGCTGATTACAGTCATTTATAATTTAGTAACTATCAAACGAAACAGTTACAAATGGTTGCCTTTATAGGCATTTTTTTAAAGAATGTAAGCGGAATGATTGCTTAGATCTTATGCTTTCTACAAATACCTGCATGTGACACTAAATAGTCTGTGTGTGTGTGTGTCGAAGTTGATTGAATTCATGTCATGCTATTCAGTAATCGATTTAATTTGAGCGCGATTTGATTTGGTAAACACTACTAAGCATTTGCTTGAATAACGGTAATACTTCAAGTGTCGTAAACCTCCTGTCACGTTTCAAAGTAGTAAAAATATACAGTATGAAAAATTGTACGTACAGTTAAATAAATTGCAAAATTATTTTCATTGGGAAATACCATTATTTCATAAAGATTCGGTTTAAAACTATTTGGAATTCAACTCTTAAATTAATTACGCCAACTTAAAAAAGTAGACAAAGATTTCAGCAGTAACAGTGCTTACGGAGATTTCCTTTATATAAGTGTACAACTATACTTATCGATAAATTTGGGTAAGTAATGCAAACTAATTTATGATGCTGCTTGAATTATCTCATCATTGTTTGGGTCGAATTGACCGACCTATGTTTGCATATAAGCTCCTATGCAGATGCCTCGATTTTGTCTGAACTTTTATTGTGATAATTCACTTGGTTGCGGCTAGTAGTGCAGGTATGTTCGGCTGACAAGTCCTAAATAGGACGGAATCCGGGTCCTGGACTCCACTATCCGTCATTAATAGTTTATGTTTGTTTGAACACTTGATTTTCACAGTCAGCGGTATCATGTGGTGGACTAGTATGTATAAAGAGAATAAATCATACGTCCTGAAGTGGGATGTAAAATACGACAGAATAAACGTCAAAAATGCAACATAAGTAAACGTGTAAATGAATACTGTGTGGTTTCACTTAGAAGGATGGAAATGTTGTAGCATAATAAAATAAAATAAATCAAGTAATGAAGAGCTAGTTCTACAAATCATCTGGTCAATATGATAAATTGTAGCCTAGACAAAGATAGGAAAACATACGATTTCAGTGAAGAAAAATTTCTCTTTTCAACGAAACCATCCTCTTCGCTGTACATTTGTGAATACATAGTAAAAAAGATAGAGCATTTCAGAGTAATTACTGGAATTAGACAGGAATCAGACAAATTTGTCCTGCTGAAAGAGTGCTGGTTCAAGACTATATATTGCGAAAATGCCTGTCGCACAAATTTGGTATGACTTTATAGGTTACGTGAAACGATATGTTGGAGGCCATCTGTTGATAATCGATTAGTGTTAATCATGGACTGATACCAGTTGGAGAAACATTGCAAGCCTGGGAGCATTGGACAGCCGTTCCGTCCTAGTATGAGGCTTCTTAGTAGTGCGCATCCATAAACCCCACCAAGGATCGAATCCAGGATCTTCGGGTTCCGTGGCGAGTACTTTACTATTGAGCCTCTGGATTAGAATCCAGTGGTCCATATTTCCTACTACTCAGTTCACGATACAGCGCAACCTTCATCCAATGCAATCGTTGAGTAACTGTCCCCATGTTCATATCGCGAACTGGAAATATAGGAAATATAGACCACTGGATTCCGACCGAGTGGCTCAGTGGTGACCTACTGGCAGCGGAACCCGAAAGTCTTAGGTTCGATTTCTGGTGGGGCCGTCGGTGCGCACTGCTGCGGACTCCGATGCTAGGACGAAATAGCTGTTCAGTGCTTCCAGGTTTCCAATGTTTCCCCAACTGATGTCAATCCATGATGAATACCAACCTGAAATGAATAAATAAATCTTCAAATCGGATAACCGATTATACTTTGCAAGATGGAAGAATTCATGGCTCTATGCCCTACTTTGCTTAGATTTACTAAAAGGGGCTTTAAAGTTCGACTGGAAATGTTCACCAGCAGATGAGACCGTAAATGAACACCACAGTAGACAACGAGAAGAGATTTCCTTAACTTTTTGATGGACGGATGGAAAGGTGATGTGGGTAATGATTAGAGAGGTGACTTTTCCATACAGTACCTAAGAAATACATCTACTGTAGCACTTCTGGATTTTAAACTTGTCCAAATCTTCCATCTCGATACAGTTGTCATACTTGATTATCTTACAATCTGTTTATCGTCACACCACAGAAAATGTGCTGGATGCCCATTCTGTACAAAAAAATGACCTCAAGTCTTTGTCAAAGTTGGTTTGTGATTAACAGATAGTATTCTAGAGGCTCAAAATTAAGAATAACAGCAACAATAATAATTATCTGCTATAGCCAGGAGCTAAGAAAGGTGTTAGTTTCAAAACTGTAGGGATACTGCATCGTTACAATTCAACCAGATGATAAGGGTGCTGGTTGGATCTCGTTGAATATACATACCTACCAGACCGTTTTAATTTATTCAAAGGTCAGGAGAATGACTATAAATTTGAAATATACGAAACACATAAAGGTCTTCTGATGGTATTGCCATTACCTTAACATCCACTGACTTTATTTCTCCCTCTGTATGGGCATGAGAAACTAGATTACATTCTTTGAATTTTCTTTATTTAAAGCTTTTTTACTGTTCAAATCATTACCTTCAATGTTAAAAAGGAAAGATGTCTGTAATTGGTTGTTCTGGTTCTCATGGTTTAACTTCAATCGACTATTTATTGAAGATGAAATTCCTTCTTGGCCTTCCGGTCCCTTTATATACTCTGTGCATATTAAATAATAGGTTGAATTAAGTTTATTTAATGGAATTCACCAAGTTGTTCATCAAAAATACACTTTCCACTAACTGATCTCATTTTTTAAACTGAGTTGAACAGATTAGTGACAATTACACTTTGTACATCACATATGTCATCTCATTGGGATAAATATGCTACAGTATCACTTCGTGGAAATGGTGAGAAATCATTATTTTCTTAATATACAGGGTAAAAAGTCATTCAACAATGAATCTGACGATTACAGCACGATCATTAAGTTGGTATATCCTATTTATTATTGAAAATGTGGCATGAACTCAAGACGTTAGTACTTATGGATGTAAATTATATGAATCAATATGATCACATATGAAGCATAAAGCTACACTGGACAGGATATTCGTAAATAACAAATAAATATTTAAAGAAAATGTACTTTCCCCAAGCAGTCAAAACATTCAGGTATATGAAACACAGAATACTTGAAAACTTGTCTAGTTAGTGGTTCTAAGAGTTCACTGGTTACATACTGATACGGCAAAACAACAATGGAACAAAATGGTATTTTTGGATTTGGCAGTGTTAGTTAGGTCATAAAGACAGTTTTCTTGAACAGGCAATTACAAAAAACTATCTTTGTCAAACTTGAAATTTAGCCGCATTAACTAGCTCTCTTAATGGTTCATCGATAAGATTCTTACAAAAGAAACATGTTATCAGTTAAAATGGGAAATAAATTTGTTAGTTTCCCTTTGTTCGATCTGTTTTGATGAGCTGGTTGATGCGAATAGGTCGAGAAATTGCAGCAAGGGTTCTGAACGAGTCTTCCGTAACACCGTAAATTTTTTAGTCCTGCGACACAATAGTAGTGTAATTTGGAACTAAAACAGTTTTTGCTTGTTTGACAAACTCAAGACTTATAGCGTTTTTATATCACTGATTTCATTAGTTTGAAATTGTATTTTTCATGATCTGGTTTGTGTTTTCAGTTTCCTTATCAGTTCATTATAAAAATATAATTTCAGATTAAGCAACTTAAAATCCACTTCCTGATTCTTTTGTTCACTTAAATAACACAGGAATCAAGGAAAGAAGTGTTCCACTTTTTAATGTTTATTGCTTCTTGTAGGTAAATTAACCACAGAAGAAGAAAAAGAAAGAGAAAAGGTGTGAAACTAGCAGGAGGCTATTCTAGAAATATAAGGTAATACAGCATAGTTTGATGTTGGCTCAAATCTGTTATCTAACCTAAATAATTATATTACAGAGAATCAAAATGACAGAAAACTGTTTTACATATGTAAACATACGTCTCCTTTAGAAATTTTAAAAAATCCTATACATAGAATACACACTATTCATTTTTATAATTAGAAAACAGGCAGTAGTATATATGAACACTTACTTTGGTTTGAGTAACATCACGTATTTGAAAGTTGGCCAACAAATCAGGGGATAACTCATCACGATTCTTAATCCACGGGTGCGATAATATCATACTGGCCGTACAACGCTTAGATGGTTCAGGATTTAACATTTTCATCAATAAATCCTATATGAGAAGAAAAGGTAAAACAATAGACCTGTTTTGAAAAAAATAGGTGCACAGAGAGAAAAAAGGTAATTGACAATTAGTAAACAAATTGAAGTTCATAGCAATGAATATTGTACATTCATGTGTAAACTAGAATCACAAAAGAAAAATGTCACAATGAAAGGAAAAAGAGAACCGTGAGAATTATAAAAGCCTGCCCGCAGTTATTTGATACTTTAAATTCCAAATTGCCATACAGGGTCGAATTGTCCAACCTCTGTTCGCAGATGGGCTGATATGCGGATACCTCGATATTACCGGATATTCTTAATGTTGTATTCATCTTGGTGTTTAGCGATGGGACCAAAGACACTCGTTCCTTCCTATGTGGGACAGGCACGTCCAACTGACGAGTCCCATACAGGACGAAACGCGCCTCCTGGATTCCACTGCTAGCTGTCGAGACGAATGTTCACCTGTATTGTTGTAATGACGACGCAAGAATTCGAAAACACTTATGAAGTTGGTAAATCTCTACTTCTCTTTCAGTAGTGCAACCACTCAGAGATTAATTAGCAGTAATGTTATGCCCTGAGTGAAGGTAAAAGTGAAATATTGTAGTCGATTTGTTTACAGTACACAAGCGGTGAGTAGAATTCCCTTAAATGATGCCCACAAATGGTTATGACTTCGATAACAAACGATTATGGTGAAAATTAAGTTCAGAAGTAACACTGAAAAAATTATATATATATATATATATATATATATATATATATATATATATATATATATATATATATATATATATTATTAGACCCTTGGGTTCCTAATGGAACATAGGGCTTCAGTAGCACGTCTCCAGTGAATTCTGTTCTCTGAAATCTTTTCAACCTGGCTCCACGAAAGCCCACAACCTCTCATTTCCTCCTCGCACGACCTCCTCCATGTCACCCTCGGACGTCCAACTCGTCGCTTCCCATGGGGATTCCACTCGAGGGCCTAGCCTGACGCGTGATGTCCCCAGTCAGCCTTCTCAGTGTATGCGCAATCCATCTCCACTTCCTTCTGCATATTTGCTGGGTGATAGGTTCTTGGTTGGTTCGTTCCCAGAGTTCCTTGTTGCTTATTCTTATTATTCTGGCCATCTGATCTTCAGTAGCGAGCCAGCGTAAGCAGTTGTTGATGAATGTCTGTAGTTTATTGGAAATGCCTTTCGTAACGCGCCAAGTCTCTGAACCATACAGAAGCACTGCCTTGACTGAGTTGGTGTTAAAAATCCGCATCTTGTTCCATATGCTTAGTGCAGTGCAGAAGATCTCCACACTGGTTTCAGGCTAATGAACGCCTGTCTTGCTTTTCCGATTCTGACTTTGACATCCTCGTCTGTCCCACCTGTAGTTGAAACAGTGCTTCCTAGATAGGTGAAGGAGGTTACTTCCTTTAAGTTTCTCCCGTTTATCGTGATTGGAGTTTGTTGTTGTTGTTGTTGGAGTTGTTGGTGCGGTATCTTCATCACTTCTATCTTCTATATATTCACTTGAAGTCCCGTCTCCCTTCGCTGCCTCTTCTGCCAACTTGTTAGTTTTCGCCTGTAGATCTTCAAGTTTGTGTGACATCAGGCACAAGTCATCGGCGAAATCCAGATCTTCTAGGTTCTTTTCCGTGGTCCAGCGTATCCCCCTCTTCTCACAGCTCCACACTGTTTGCTGCATGATCCAGTCCAGTCGACCACAATCAGGAATATCACGGGGGATAGTAGGCGACCTTGTTTCACTCCTGTCTTCACTTCAAAAGCATCACTGAGCTTCCCATTGTGAATTACTTGGCATGTGGCATCTTCATATAGTTGTTGAATGAGGTTGATAAAGGTTTGTGGTATTCCGTAGTATTCAAGCAGTTTCCAAATTACCTCTTGGTCGACGCTGTCAAAGAAAGGCCTTCTCAAAGTCGATGAAGTTGAGGTAGAGAGCTGATTGCCATTCTATGCTCTGTTCTATGATGATGCGAAGCGTTGCAATTTCATCATCATCATCATTATCAACATAGGACCAGGCATTACTGCGTAACGGTCCGAGTTGCCACACCTCATATCAGCACATCAAGTAAAAAGGTAGTGAGGTGAAGGATGAAGATAAGTGAATGCAGTCAAAAGAAATATAAAGTACGAGAAGAAAGGGAAGAGGAGTGACAAAATGGTGAGATTCGGTATAGCCTCGTTAAGATGAGGATAATGTGTGTATACATCCGCGCCACTGACTTCGGTTCTCAGCCATATCCTCTAGAGTCTCCAACCACTGGTTCCTCTTGTCCCGTGGACCCCAACCACCTAGTCTGCATCGTCCTACATGGCTTAAACCAAACAGTCAGAGACTTCATACATTGGTGCCATGTTTTAGTCTGGCCACCTCGGGCCTTTTTCCAGCCTGAACCCACCTCAGCCAACATTGTGTGACGAGGCAATCGGTGACTAGGCATACGTAGTACGTGTCCCAACCATCTCAGTCGATGAAGGTTCACAACCTCGTCGACTGACTTACCTCTTCTCCCTAAAACTCTACACCTAACTTCTGTATTACTCACATGGTGACACCACGGAATACGTCCTATACTACGAAGGCAACGGTGGTCAAATACCTGTAACCTTCTCATGTCTTCCACTTTCAATGGCCATGTTTCACAGCCATACAGTAGAACAGAGCGGACTGATGTGCAGTACACGCGACCCTTAATAGACAAACGGATATCACGGCGGTGCCATAGGTGGCGTAAATTGGCAAAAGCCAATCGAGCCCTGCGCAAGGATGACACGCAAAATCGTATTGCGTTGCAATTTGGTCGGCACATGATTTGTACTTCCTGAAGCCTGACTGTTTCGGTCACAGTTTTGAATCCAGTGCAGCCTTCAGCCTCTCCAGGATGATGCGGCTCAATATTTTGCTTGCATTGGGTGGACAGGAGAGTGATTGCGCACCAGTTCTTGCAAACACTGAGGTCTCCCTTCTTCGGGAGTTTGACAAGGTAACCCTTCTTCCAATCACTAGCCAGGTACCTTCTCTTCCTTCCACACCTTCTGCAATAGTGGTGTGAGCATGTCCGCTGCTGTTGTATCTGCATCTGTTCTCAGTGCTTCCGGTGGGATCCCGTCTGGTCCTATTGCTTTCCCGCATTTCAGTAGCTTTATGGCGTTCAGGACTTGCATTTTTGTTGGAGGATTTATGTTCACTTGTATTTCAGCAGCTGTAGGGGGTATTTCTGGACGAAGTGCAGGTGGTGGTCGATTCAGGAGTTTTTTGAAGTGGCCACCCCATCGTTTCCTTTGTTTCTCTTCTTTCGTTATTAAATTTCCGTCATCTTTTATTGGTTTCGTCTGCGTTGATCTCTTCCCAGATAGCAACCTGGTTATTTGATACAATGTTGTCAGGTCTCTCTTACCTGCAGCCTGTTCTGCTTCACTTGCCAGTGTTTCGTAGAAGTGTCTTTTGTCTTTGCGTGCACTCTTCTTCACTTCTTTGTCCAGTGTAGTGTTTTGCACATTGTACTCAGTTCCACTTCTCGTTGTTCATCCTTGCATTGGTTTATCTTCTGCTTCACCATCTTCCTCTCCCTCCTCTATCAGCTTCCATGTGTCCATCGAGATTCATTCCTTGTCTTGTCTTCTTTCTTCTTCCTTCCTAATACTGTTGTGCAGGTTTCTTTCCACATCTCTTTCAAAGACTTCCAGTGTTCTTCCACACAGGTTTCTTCAGGGATGTTGCTCGATATCTCCCATTTTGTCTTGATGGCTGAAGTGAAGATTTCCTTTGTAGTTTCGTCCTTCAGTTTCCGAATGTTGTACTTGAATTGAGGTCTATCACCAGCTTCCTTGAAGGCGAAGAAATTATATATATATATATATATATATATTATATTCAAAGTGGAAAACGATCACTGAATATATTTTAACTAAATTTTTACAGAGGAACTGAATGAACAAACAAGCCTTCAGGAACCGCAACCATGGGTAATAAAGAATTGTTATCATAGTGTTGATACTGGGTAAAGATTGGAGGTGAAATGAAAATTTGAACTGTCGCGGGATTCAGACTAGTGACCACTGAGTTTCTAGCCCAGTGCTTTACTAACTGAGATACGATGTTATCTCAGATAGTCAAAATGATAATCAAAATGTTGTTTAACTTAGATATCATACTGTATACTTTTAAAAGTTGGGGTTAATGGAAATAACCTAAGCGAATGCTACTGACATCATTTTTACAAACAATTTTATCTTGAAATTATTTAGTGCTTGACAATGTCAACCTGTCACTCACTAACAAAAGGGATCATTGAGTTTTTACTCCTTAAAAATATAGAGTATTATACTGTGTTGTACTGAAAGATGAAGTTGATACCAAAAGGAAATGCGAATGCTTCCTGGTAGTAGGAATATTATGGTAACTCCCTTTATTAGTCTGTGTGCACCAGCGAATATAGCAAAAATGAGAATTAATCGTTAGAATGATTTCCGTTTCATATACATCTATTTAAGTCTGAGTAAATGATGACTGAGGTTGGGCCGTTGCAAAATTTAAACCAATGTCAGAAAGCCACTCAGGTTTTCATTTCAGCTTAAATTATGCAAAAGGATCGGTTTAAAAGCTAAAGACTCTAATTTGACGTGATGAAAAGAAAAAATACATTTTTATTCTTTATAACGCACTGAAGATGTGTTAGATACCCTAACCAAAAGGTTTCGTCTTTCTAACGTTTTATAATTGTAATGGTGCAACCCAAAGCCACTGTACAGGTCAAGGTACTGTGTTATGAATAACATTATTGGCTTTAAAACTAGAGATGTCGACCAACTGGTCAGAACAACAGGTGGAACACACATGTGAATGTGACTCAATAAATGGGAGTTGAGCACATATGACATTGCACAATGCCTACTCTCTCACTATTTGCCAGAAAATGGAAAGTGGAACAACCTAAAATAAAGTGATTCATTCCTATCTACACTGCGGTTCATCTGATGC